CTAATCTGAGCAAATATGATATAATCACATCTCCATTTTACAGATATTGATAAATTGCTTACTTATCACATATCCATTAAATCATAATATTGGGGCTGGTAGCCTGGTCTCTTGACTATAATTCGTTTTTCCCCCAAAACAGCATGTGTCAAAGCTTCTGGAATAAGAATAACTGAGAAAAAGTGTTCAGAGCCTTGTGTGAGATGACATTATTAAAGAAACAGACTTCTTAGGAAGAAATTTCCCCAATGGGCTTATGATTAATATACTTCCTAAATGAATACATATGACTTATAAACACTAGGATTTTTTTGGTGGATATTAGCTAGCTGGAGGATGTGTTTTTGCTTGGTAGCTAAGAATATTCTAGAAGAGTTAGGAGCTGGTGTGTTAGCTGAGAATGTTCTAGAAGAATTAGGAGCTGGTGTGTTCATTCTCCTATGTCTAAAGAAAGCATTCATGGCTCCAGGTAATGTACTGTTAGTCAGGAACAATGAGTAATGTAACATACCAGCATTAGGTTAGAAAACAACAGTTTGTGAGATGTTCAGAAGACATTTTCTACTGAGAACCCAAAGTCAGGAGAACTGATTTTCTGAAAGATAATGTGTATTATCAAGGACAAGGGTTTCTTTGTTCATTTCACAAATTTCTTATTGTAGAAGATAAAATTCACAGCATATATTTAGGATGTGCAACTTATTGAATACATTGTACACTACATTACACAGAAAGCTTGCTACAGTTGGGGTTGAGAAAGATTGTAAGTTTTTGTCATGAACTCTGGGACTAAATATGGCTTATATAAAATTTTTCTGCATGTCTCAAGTCGTGGTCTGCAGCCAGATGTATGCTTGAGTAGATTTATATTATCTGCTGCTGCATACAACTTTTCTTTAAACCCATAACCCTATCTTCACCACAAGAATAGCAATAAATAGAAACGGCAAAAGTCTGGCCTTCAAAAAGTCATTACCAGAAAAAAAAAAAAATCACTTCAGGAAAACCTGATCTTACATTATTTCAGAATGAATCTAAAGCAAGTCAAAAGGGAAAAAAAAGTAACCATAGAAAAAAGGAGAAAGTAATGGAAAGACAGTAATGGAAAATCTATTCTTAAATTTTATTTCTGAATAAATATGAGGCATTTAAAAAGAAGAAAAATAACAACAGGAAGTAAGACCAACTGGAGCTCAATATAGCAACCAGAAGTTCCTCTTTTTTTTTCTGGAGCTGCCAGAGCTGCAGCTCCTAGGCTACCTCCACCTACCCCTCCTCTCCCTGCTTTGAATCAGTTGCAGATTCAGATTCCAGAACATATTTTCATCACAACCTCCAATTTCCAAGCCCCTTCTGTGCTTAAATTGTGGATCTGAAATAAAGCATATAGTTCCTTTTCGTTTCTTTTGTTATAAAGACTCTTCCATCTACAGCAGTGATGTCTATACCAACAGTAGCCACTGTTTTTGGCTACTGACTCTGGTCTTGGTACCAGAGTCCTTGTTTATCATCTCACTTGATTAGTGAGCTAGGTACATTCATTCTCCAGTATGGAATGGTTTTCAGGAGCCACAGTTCTTTAAATTGTTTGTACTGGTTGAGTGGTGCTGATCGCACCACCCTATTATTCCAAAAGCTGGTGCTGGGGACACCCTTCCCTATCTTAATGGGAAGAGTTTAGTATTTGAGGGTTAATCTTCACTGTTCATTTGATTGGCTTGCAAAGCTCCTGGGAGATCAGCAAAACACACTTGGATGAGTCTGATGGGTCATGGGGCTCGATTTGGGGATTATATCTGGTCCCTGTCCTATTCTTCTCTGGTCTCTTCCTCTGTTCTCCACTTCCTCACTGCCATGAAGTGAGCAGCTTTCCTCTCCCAGGCCCTTCCACCATGCAGTTCTGCCTTGGACGCAGTGACCATGGCCTGAAACCATCAGTCCAAATCAACCTCTCTTCCTTTACACTGTGAGCACTGAGTATTTTGTCCTAGCAAAGGAAAGGTGACTAATACAAAATTTAATACTTGAAATAATCAAGCCATCATATCTGTACACAGACTGCATTTTGTACTTAATGTTGATATTTTCACCTCTTTTAATAGTAGAGATTTCCTTTTTTATTGAAGTCTAGCATTTAGTGAGAATATTCCAATCCTTAAGGTTCTTTCATTTCCCTATTTATTTATTTATTTATTTATTTTTGGTACTGGAGATTGAACTTGGGTCTTTGTGCTTGCAAGGCAGGCCACCGAACCGCTGAGCTAAATCCCTGGCAACATTTCCCTATTTAATCAGGATATTTCCACAGTCATTAAGGCACCCATTATACACAGCATATAATTTTAAGTAAAAATTATCTAGGCAAATATGTCAGAAAAGTCTTTAGTAATGTTCAGTAAAAGGTATAGTGGTCTAAACACTTATTAAACATTAACACCAAGAGCTATTATCTTTTCTTTTCATAACAAATAGAAATAAAAACCCCTTGTGTTTACATTTTGTGTGTTTTTTAGGCTCCAGAAAACTTAATTAATGAGTCACTTGGCATCAACAATCCCGCTAAGGACTAAGACGGCCTCTTTTTATTCCTAGAAGCTGAACATAGCAGAAGATTTTTACTCTCATATCAAAGAAATCTTTTGTAAAAAAAAAAAAAAGGAAACATAATTAGGCAGTTCAGAAACCTGTTAAGTTTAGGCTAAACATCAGTCAAAACAGCACCACATTTCTGGAAATCACAGAAACTATGTTGCTTCTCCCTGGAAATCCCAGAGATGACCTTTGAAAACCTGCCATGTGAGCTATTCTGGCAGAAGAATGTGGCTGGTGACTAAGTGAGAGGTATATTAAGAGTCTCCCACACACTGTTTAACACACAATACAGAGATGCTTATTAGTAACAGGAGGAAAGGAGGATGTATGGACCAAAGAACAAAGAGCTGCTGGGCTGAACTCACCAACAACTGTATCTCAATGGAAAAAAAGTGCACCTGGGAGCTTCAGGAATTGAAATATATTGAAATGATCCCAGAGAAGCAGAAGCTAAAGTTGAACTCATATTGTTACTTAGAAGGCTGGGATGAGAGACAGCCTTCCCTCTGCTACTAAGAGAAACCTCGTGATTTCTCCTCTTACACATTTCATTTGCTCTCTACATATTACAGACTCTCAAAGGTGGGCATGTCAGTGCACACCTATAACCCCAGAACTCTAGGAGGCTGAAGCAGGAGGATTGCAAGTTGAAGCCCATCTTGGGCTACTTAGTCACTTAGCAAGACTCTGTTTCAAAACAAACAAACAAACAAACAAACAAAATTTAAAAAGGGCTGGAGAAGTAGTTTGGTGTGAAGGCCCTGGATTCAATCCCTAACTACCCCAAGAGGATGTCAGATGACTATTCTCTTCTATTTCCCACTCTTTTCCTTTTAGAATGCCCATTATTGCTTGTGGGTAGAGAAGAGGAATTGGAGACCAAACAATCAAACTGAGAATAGTTTGTGAACAACAGCACAATATTGTAGATTTTCACTTGGATAATTTTTCAGAACCCCTCATCTTTAATGAACACATTTCTGGTTTTTATTCTATCTATTATTATTTTGTTGTTGCCACTATACAACCAACAAATATGCCTAGTTCTGCTTAATACAGCCCTGGGAAATTTTCCTTGCCCTGGCCAGGAGTTCTAGGTCTTGTTGTTGAGCTTTTGATGAGTAATCAGTAAACAACTGGTAACTTAAATCTGTACTTCAGGAAACAAATAAGGAAAACACAATATTTTCATTACAGTTTAAGACAGTAATTTATTTTAATTTTGGCAACAATCTAGCACTAAGGAAATACTAATGGTGATTTGTAACAGAACTTCATTTTGTTGGATGAGAGTGAAAATTCTTCCCAAATCTATAAATGCTGTGTATTTCCACATAAGCCCTCCTTGGAATGTGTTAAAAAACGAAATGTATTTTATATATTGCACAAGCACTCCTATGTTCTGTGGAATTCTTATTATGGCACACGCTTCAATGATTTTTTCATAAATTCTGTACAACATAGGGGATTTTTTTTTGCTTCAAAGGAAAACTGTGTTGTTCAGAGTACACCCTTCCAGGTTATTGGATTCTTATTTTATGGTGCTCTGCACCTTTTTTGGCCTCTGAGCAATTTTACAACTCTCCAAGTTGTGAATAATTGGTAGCAATGTAAAATGCTTTTTGCGTACACATAGTGAGTAAACCATGTCTCATGGAAGTCCAACTGACTTCCCATACTATAAAAGAAGCCAATTTTTCTACTGCTTATATATTCGTTTTAATGTTTCTAATCTTTAAATGCTCTGTTCTTTGAACTGATTTTAATACCTTACTGATTTCTACATTGATAATGACTTAAAAATAAGTTAAATACAATGGTTATCCCATATTTATTTTCTATGCAAAATAATGATTTTACATTTATTTATTTGGAAAATTATTCAACAGTAATATAAAGCAAAACAGGATTTTGAGTGGGAAGTTTTAAAATCAGATATACATAATCTCACAGATGGTTCACAACTACTGCTTTTTGTTGTTTTTTTTGTGTTTGTATTTTATGCTTTTAACTTTCATTCAGCTGCCATTCACATTTTAGATCTCAGGTAAAATTTCTGCTGGGTGGAAAAATTGATGCAACAATTAACAATTTAAGTTTGGACTCCATGATGCTAAAACACACAAATGAATAAGCCTATCAATTTAAAATCGTTATTTTAAAATGATACTTTTTTGGGCAACAATCTAGTGCTGAAGAAATATAAATAATGACTTATGAGACATCTGGGCATCACTGGATTGAAGAGACACAGACACTCTTCATATAGTTGTGAGTAGTATGTATTTTCCCATACCTTCCTTTGGAAAGCTTATATTTTCATTGAGAACACTCATTGGAACTATTACATTATAGTCAAAGGAAGCATTTCACAATATCTGATAAACAAAACAAATTTTTATACTTACTGTGCCCCACCAGAGAGCATCTGCGTATGTAGAAAACTCTTTATTGGCATCCTTTTCCACCAAATAGACAAGGAAAGATGAAAATATAAGAACCAAAAATCCTATGTACCAAGCTGTGATTAACTCCTAGATATAAACAGAATGGAAGATTATTAGAGGTGAAAAACGAAAATTAGTCTAAGAATGATTCCATTCATCCAACCACTTTTTGGATAGTTATGATGGCTTAAAAATAATCCACAGCATACCATATTCCAAAATAGCTTTAACCAGTTTCTAAAATGACTAAGCTTGCTTATGACAGGCTTATTAAATATAATAATCACTAGAAAGGTTTCAGGAATTTTGTTCTAAAACTAGGAAAGCAAATCTTACCTTGCTGTGAGCATAAACCACAGATCCTAGTAATTTCCAAGTGCCGCCCCTTCGGTCCATGCGCACCATGCGTAGGATCTGTAGGAAACGAAGACTTCTGAGCGCGGACGTGGCAAAAATGTTACCCTGAGTTTTTGCAGAAACTACTGCGATTGACGCGATAAGAACAATGGTATCTGAAAGAAACAGGTGGAGACAGCCATAAGTTCTGTGTCGAGGGATTTTGATTTCTCAAAACCGTATCTCTGAAAGTTTCCAACAGATCTCTCTGAAGCCGAAATGAACACTAGACCCTCAGTCTTTCCCTAGGGCTCCTGGGTCGCCCTGCGTTGAGCTGTGACAATGCTACCTGCTTAGTACAGACGTGTCACTCATTTCCTCACCAAACAAGTTTGTACCCCCTTTCTATTGAACATTCTCTGATACAGTTTGCATACGCAAACCCCTCTGTGTACAGTTTAATGAAGACCTTAATACTCTAGGCTTTCTGTCCAGAGTAGTCTTGATACCTAGTGAAGGTCTGGTGTACCAATTAAACGATACTCAATTTTTACAGTGGCATATGTCATTATGCGTACTGTACCGTGTGGGAATGGGTATACTGGCATTTGTCTTAAAATATCTGCCCCGTTGTAAGCAAAAAAGATAGCAGCTAATGAAAGCACAGAAGAGATAAAAGAGGATTTAATATTTGAGAGGGAAGAATTTGATGTGGAAGGAGGGAAAGCGAACTGGGGACGAACGGCCTGCTGTGGCAGCTTTCATATGTGAGCCTGACCTTAACACCCACAGCTAAATTTTCTCTTCTGTTCCAAGTGGGCTGTGCGTGACCTGGCCTCCATACTCCAGAGAGGAGCATCACTCAAGGCTGCTGCGTCTGTAATGTTTCTGTGATCCTCAGGATTAACTGTTGCACGAACGTGTGCTCTTTGTTCAGCTCATTCTTCTTGCTGCATCAGTCTCCTGGGGCGGCCTGACAAGATCTTTGAGCTACTCTCCTGCACCAGAGAGAGGCTCAGTGGTTGGCGGTACAAGGGTCCACCACAGGGCCTTTTCCAGTCACAAGCAAATGCTAGCTGGCTTTGTGGGAAGGCTCTCAGAGAACCCCAGTGCCTCCTTGGGTTCCTGCTCTTGGCAGCTGAGGGGAATGAAAAGGAACCAACTGCATTGATACAGACATATTTTTAAGTAAATAGAAATCACTTGCAAAAACAGTATGGATAATGTGATCACACCGAAATAAAAATACCTATCAGCTTATTATTAGGAAAAACTGATAACATGTACAGATGATTACTGTTAGTTATCTCTAGGGGTAGAGTTAGAATGATATGTAGATAAAAGGACTTTTCACTTCCAAATTATTAATTTCTATAATGCTAGAATTTAATCAGTATGTGTTTTGAAATAAAAATATTATGTGCAAACAGCTTATGGTTTTCATCATTTGGAGATATTTACTTTTGAGATTAGTGATTTACAGTAATATATATGTATG